CGCCGCTGCAGCGGGCTCCCGCCTTTCTCTACAGCCGGCGCGCCGGCTCCTGCTTCCCGGGCTGCTGCGCGGAGGCAGAATCCTCTGGTGCTCATGCAAAAGTGCCTGCGCTCCTGCGAGGCTGCTTCGCGGAGTCGCGGGACTCCACCACGCTCGGGCCGCGCTCTTGGCACTGAAGCTAACCTGGAATCCGGGGGCGAGTCCGAGCCGCGGCTGGAGGAGCCGGCCCGGCTCTGCGGGGAGGCGGCAGGGTCGACAGCTCACTGCAAAGCTACCTCCATGCGACCCTCCCCTTCCCGCCCCTTCCCCTCCCCCCACCAGCTCGGTCTGGGTTCTTGGGCGCTTATTGTTTTAATGAATTTTTTGGTTGTTGTTTTGGTCCTTGAATGTGATTTTTAGCTGCGGGTAACGTGTCCACGCTCCTCTCAGGATCTCCCGGAGGGTATTCAGAGAGGTCTCAGTGAATCCATTTTCTCAGATCCTCTCCTTTCAGGGCAATGATTTGGTGCCCGGAAGGCGCCTCGGAGCTCGAAGGCGGTGGCTTGGGATCTCGTAGGGGTCTGCGCGGTGGCGGAGAGAGCTCCCGGGTGGCGGCGGCTGTTCTCCTGGGCTGGACGCCGTGAGGGGAGCAAGCGGATTTTCCCAGCAAGATCTCCATGTACAGTTACATCTTTAGGGCCGCTCGGGTTAATATATGTCGTCAGAGGCTCCTCACGCCAATCCCGGGGCGGCGGAGGCGGCGCCTCGCGCACTCCGCAATAAAACTTTTTGATGTTCACGTTGCTAATTGCCGAGGTCCTCTTCCAGGATTGGCTGTCCCTTCATAACCATAAGATAATTGAAACGGGGGGGGGGCAAGGTTAAAAAAAAACTTTTTTTTTAATCAGCCAGAGGTTAATGCAAGTGTTTAACAGATGCTTCACTATTAAAATATTTCCCCCCAAGTCTCAAATATTGAAGAATCTCGAATCAGGTATAGTATCAGTCTGTTTTTTTTTTTCCTCCTGGTTTTAAAAAAAGGAACTCAGATAATACTTTTCGAAGTGTTTTATAGGTAACCGAGCAAGAAGCGAGCCGGAAGCCTAATGCAGTTTTGTGAGGGGGATCGAGAACTGAGCAGCAGGCGCGAGGACCCCAAGGAGGGGTGGCTGGGAGCGCACGAGTTCTTTTTGCGGAGGAGGATACACCGCGCGGCCGGGGAAGGGTGCTCCTTTGACCTGGCACAGGTCGGAAACGCCAGACCAGTGGCTCTTTACTTAGCCATTGAGATACCTCGTTTAGAGGTTTTTGGAGTGGCTCAGGTTATTGTGACAAGTTGGGTAGATCACGGTTGAGACCCTCCGGGCAAACGGTCACACTGATTGTAAATGCTCTCATTTCCACATTCTTCAGGGACACCAGCCCCATCGGAGACTTTGGAAGATTTCAATGTGCTGCTACCTCGATTCCCCGAATCGGTGGCGTGGACGGTATCGGTGTTCTCCTGGTTTAACTAGCCTGTTTGGTGAGTAACTGAATATTTTTTACAGCGTGTTCAGAGCTTATTTTCCAGTTTTTATGAACAAACACATAAATATATCTCTGCATTCCTGCCTCTCCCATAAAAGCGGGCATCTGTGGAAAGCAGGTTTAGTTATCGGAGGGGAACCATTAAACGCCAGTTTAAGAGGACGGCTCGTGGATGTTTAGACTGCTGGCCTTGGTGATCTTGAACGCATTATAAGAGAAAATGGATCTCCACTTGTAAGTCACTGGGCCGCGGGGCACCCGGGCCGCGGCGCCCGCGTGGCGTGAGCGTCTTGAGAAAGCTCTCAAACTGCAAGGGGTGGGGTGGTCAGTGGCGGGAGCTGAAATCACCCTTGATGCTTGGCCCCAGCCGCGTGGAGAGGCTGGTGTGTGTCTGAGGATTCTGCCCGCCGGATGGAGTTCGGCGTGGAAAAGGGTGTCATCGGGAGCCCTCGGGCTGTAAATTGGAAGGAGTGGAGGGCAGACTGTTCAGAAGCTGGCGAGGGCCGGGAAGGCCTTGGACATAGCCAGAGTCGCCAAGAGAGATCAATGGCTGCACTTTGGGCATCGCTTTTCGGGGGCAGGCGCAGTCAGGTCCCAGGCCTCAAAGGGAGCCTCATTCTAAGGACTCCTAAGACTAGCTCTTTCCTTGATCCCTCAACACCGGTTATGTGGTTTGGGCTGGAAGGCCAGGTCAGCACGAATGGAGGGCTTCCAACTCCGGTACAGCCATGTACTCAGGGGCCCACGCCCTGCCTGCCACTATCTCCCGAGGAAGCAGCACCAAGAAAGAGTTTGTTTTCAGGCTTTCCGGCTGGGCAGTAGAGGGAGGAAACTCAGAGAGGGATGTAAAAACCTCGGTTGGGAGTTGATTCTTATTTTCGTAAGGGGTCAATTACCCTGGACGCTCCCAGCAGAGCCTTTTGAGGCCAGAACAGAGCACCGGAGTAGCTGAACCCAGGCTGGCTGCTAAGACCAGGGGCTTACATTTGGTATCAGAACAGAATAGCCACCTCCACACAGCTCAAAATTCCCAACTTGAGTGGGTCTGCAGTTTGGGGTACAAGAAGAGTCTTTTTAAGAACTGCTTCTTGAATGAAAGAATACAGGTAGTGTGGTCGGGGACTTTGTTTACATTTTCACCAAGAGGCAAACTCGGAATGTGTAAATACTGGTAGTTCAATCCTCTGACATTTGATACATTTAAAAAATCTGTTTATAAAAACACATTTAGGCCTTGGGAGCAGGTAGACAAAGTAAGACGGTTGCACCCGGAGCAGATAAAGTTTAGGGAAAGTAGTTGTTTGGGCTACTTTCAGAAATGGAGTTTTGGAGGATTGGACTGAGGAATAATCCAGAGGAAAACTGGGTTGGGGATTGAGAAAGTGTTCACCAGAGGCAAGTGGCCTCAGTTGTGAAGGATCAAAATTTTCTACTTTTAGCTTTTCTTAGGCTTATTAAATTGAAACAAACACACACACACAAAAAAGGGTGAATCGATTTGTGGCTCTGGATAACACCACAGTGATAAAATTAATGGACAATATGGTCAGAAAGTGGTTGTCATAAAAGATGCCAGTCTGAACATCACCCCTCACTGACAGCGTTATCATCAACTAATTACCATGATCCAGGGGTCTAAAGCTTCATGTTATATCAATAACCCAAAAGAGGTTAGAGCCTTAAAAAGATGGTCCCTAAGTGGCTTAGCAAGAGGGGACAAATGTATGAACTCTAGTGGTGTCCCCAACAGTAGTAACTGACTCAGAGAAACCAAACTGGTCTTGATCAACTAACAATCAACTTGATCAACTCTGAATGCATAGCTGTACACATTCACTTTTTCCTTTTAATGTCAATCGGGACGTTTTGCTCCAGGAATCCCAGGATGCTGGGTTAACCTGCTGCTTTGGAAAACCATAGGCTAAGAAACCAGCTTAATTTTGCTCTCAATTTTAGTGGCCTGCCCATGCAGCAAGGGAGTGATGGAGTTAATGGTAGTGGTGGTGGTGGAGGAAAGGTTGGTGATGGTAATGAAGGGCAAAGTGGGAGAGGAAGGAGTATAGCTTAGCTGTCAGCCTTGGAGCCCCACTCCTGGGCTGTACTAGTAGGGCCTCTGGTATGCTGTACCCCAAAAGATGCATATTCATATTTTTCAAAGGGCCCAAGGAACTGAGGAGATGTGGTTGGGTGCTTTGGGAGAAATTCTAGGAAGTGACACTTTTCTATTTCTCCTTCAGAGATGAGGGAGCACCCAGGGTTTGAGACTGAGTCATAGCGAAGCATCCCAGGTTCAGGGGAGATTCTGTGTCCACTGGCTTCCTGGTGGCTGATGGTGTACCCACTGTGCTGCCTTACATCTGCCTCCAGCCAAACAAGCAGAGCAGCATTATTTTGTGCCCATGTCTCTTGTCACTTTACTCCCACTACTTCCCCTGGAAAATATTCAAAGAGCATGAGAAAGACTTGAGCAAACGTTTTGGTGTTGTGAGATACTACTTTTAAAATCAATCTGGTTTAAACTAAATATTTTTTTAAACTTCAGTCTGTTTTTAGGGAAAATACAGATCTTTTCAAGGTGTTTATTATTTCAAAGGCAAGGGCAATTTTGTGTCTTGTGTTTTGCTCATGAGAACTCAAAATAAACTGGACCTGAAAAGAACCAGGCCAGAAGGCCATAAACACACATTTTATATTTATAGGAATTATGGCTCAATTCCCTTCATCATCTTTCAAATCTCTTTTCACCTTGTTTTCCTAACTGAAGTAGTAGAAATAAATTTGAGCATTTCCTCTAAATATCTATAATAAAGTGGACTTTAGAACATGCTAAGAAGCCGAGAAAGGATGTCAAACCTGGATGGTGATAGAAAACCAGTGTTCTTAAGGATTTCATCTCAGCCTCACCTGCTGTAAGGACAGTGCTTCTGGTGACACTCTGATGGCTCTGAATTCCTGTTCTGTACTATGGTGGGATTGAGTCATTTTACATGTTAGCCACTTAGTCCCAGAATGTTTAGGACATCCAGAACAACAAGGCATGTATCAACTGAGTGGTGGCAAAGGACTCCCTCTAACTGGGGTTTTGCAGTTCCTCTATCCACCTGGCAAGTGACAATGGCTCAAAGTACACATTAGTTTGTTTGAAATTTTATGAATATTTTTTAAATAAAGGACATGAGAAGCTGCCTTGGATTCTAT